TTGTAACATGGAAAACACTTGGAACAGGAAACTGAAAAAGCAGGTCTTGAAACCAATGAAAATCAATATGGAAACTAGAAAAATCTGTAACATTCTTTCTTCCCACATACAGAAGATATGTTTTGTTTTCTTAAAAAATTAAAACCCCACAATTAAGGCTTTCTTTTTTTAGTATTTTGTTGTATACAGCTGGTATTAAACTTTACCCGGACTGCAAGCAAAACAAGCTTAAAATCCCTAAAACAGCTGTCTATAAATTAGTAAGTTTTTATCTCACCAGATGCTGTCTCCAACATCCTGGAATCAGAAACATACCAAGTGTAATCTTAATTGTTTTATCTTTTAATTCTAAATCACACCCATTTATTACTCCTTAAATCTTGTTAACTTTCCCTAATCATTTTCCTGGAATTTTTGCTAAATTTTCTGAGAGCCAATGCAGTTACTTTGCAAATTAATGCCACCAAGATATTCTAATATGATCCTCAGTTAAGAGATTGAAGTAAAGAAACCAAAATTGCAGGAATTGGTGAAGATCAATCAAACCATTTCCTAAAATTGCAGCAGGACCACGTGAAGATTTTGGTTTTAACCAAAGAATTATTAGTTAACCCATGAAAGCAATAGAATCAGAGATGAAAAACCAATTGGTTTTCTTTTTTTTTGTTATTTATTCATAAGACATCAAAAAAAAAATTAGATCTTGAAATTAAACATTACAGGGAAGATCTACGAAGAAAGGAAAATTTGGTATAAAGAAACAAACTTGAATATGAGGAAACGTGATTCACAATCTTATTAAGAAGCAGAGTATGCAGAAATCAGCACTGTACACTCTTCTCACACCCTCCTCAACTTTATCTTGAAACAGGAGGGCAAAGCTTACCCCCCCAACAAATCAAATCCTGGAATATGTTTCTCCCCCTCTTTTTTCTAATCCATGTACACAATGATACAGAACAAGCCTGAATCATCTTCAATGAAACATTTTGAAGAAATGGGCTTGTAAAGATTCTCGCCATGTACAAAGATCTGATAAGCAGATCTCGAAAAGTCCTCCTTTTTTCTTTTTCCTAAACCTAATCTATCAACTGAATCTACAACAACAACAACAACAACAACAAGAACAACCAACAAAACCTAACTTATTTACACCTCGTGTTACTCCTCCAAGAGCTCTCCTGGTTTGAATTAACCAAACAATGCAACTGAAATGGAAGCAAGGCTCCTCCCTGTGAGCCGGGACCTGTAGTTTCTTTCTTGTCTTGGAGCATTTGGAGCTTCAATGTCATCTAACTCACTGGAATCGTCGAAATCAATTGGGGTTCGGAAAACTGCCGTCTTCCTTGGTGTTGTATAGGCGAAATGAGATTTCTTCGCGAACAAAGTCTGTAAACAAGAACCAAAGATGAAACCAAATCAATCACTTTGACTACACAAGCAAATTAAGCCAGTTAGATCCAATCCAAGACATTTATGGTGTTACTTACAGCTTCTCTGATCGCCTTAGAGACATGAAAAAGCTGCTTCAAATCTTCATGATCCACTCCACATAGAATCCTAATCTGCAAATAAAAAACAAACGATTTACTCCCACTAAAGCCAGAGAATTAAAGAAGAACCCTAAAAACTTCACATTTATCATTTCGTACTACATTAATACTAACCAGAATATCTTGCGGCAGAGCTTCAAGAGGAGACTTCTCGAATCCGAAAATCATTCTCCCACTACACTGCCTCTTCAATGGAGTCCTAATCACAGAATCAAGAGGTGATAACGATGATTCCTCCACATTTGAGATCACAATCCTCTTCCTCCCTAAACCGCGCGTGTACTTCACAACTCCCAATTCCAATACCTCTTGCTCAGCATTCGCACCACCACGCCTCGATTTCACTGCACTGCATTTCCTCCCCAACGCCATTTTTGATCACAAATACTTGTTCCTTCTTCCTTCTTCCTCAAATCTGCATCAACATCAAAAATGTAAAACAGCTATCAACTTGCAGACAACTAATCATTCTCTGTACAAGTAAAACAGAGATCTACGGAGATTAAGTAAAGAATATAATACGCAATCTTACCGGAGATAGAGCAGGAACCTATAGAAGATAAACCCTAAATTTGAGAGAACTGTTAATGATTCTTGGAAAACGCTTTGTGCGGCAAAATGGAAACAAAAGAAACCGCCTTTGCAGGTAGTAGGAGTATAAGAGTTGCTTTTAAAAATTGTAAATTTATCTCCTCATATATCGTAAAAAAAGATATCACTTTCTTTTTAAAATAAATAAAAAAAAAAAAAGATGCCAGTGGGAGTAAATATTAATTTAAATAAATATAAAAAATAAATTGTAATATATCTACCGCGTTTTTATTTTTTAATTATTTTTTTATTTACTTAACGAGAAAGTACTAGAGGTTTCCAATGTATGTTGTTTGTTTTTTTCTGGTTTGCCCTCGTGTGAGCTGGGGATTTGTTAATTGTATCAAAAGAAAAAAAACTAGCCGTTAAAAGTGGACACGTGGCGGAAAATGAGCGGAGGTAGGAAGCAACGTGGGTAGTGCACTGGGTGACGTGGTCGTTGGTCGGTCCAAGTCGGCTTTGTCGGCCCGGGTAGCACACGGCTTCTTAAACACGATTTTTTGTTTTTCCGCTGGAGATTTTACTACCGTGACATGCGGAGCCAGATGTAATGCCGTAACCGGGATTTAAGATTACGCCACGTGTCGGATACAATTCTGCGAACGGTTCTGATCTGGTGTGAAGGTACACATGAGAAGAAGATGGATAGATCTAATGGCGGCCAATACTTTGTTTGACCAAAGATTCTAATTTGGAGGCTGACGGCTGTTTCACGGCTCTATTCGAGGTGTCAAAGCCATGTCAAACGCACCGACAACACGGCTCTTTTATAATTATAATCCTTTTAATTTTATGATTAGTAATTTAAATTATGAGATTAGAGTCATTAAACAGATGTGATTAATGATAATGATACTTTTATATATTCTTCTATGATTTGCTTTGAGTAATTATCAATAATCACTTTTTTTTTTTTGTATTTTTATTCGGGTCAAATTGTGTTTATCTTAGAAAAAAATCTATCATTAGTTCACATATAGAATATTTTTAATTAAAAAAATCATTTTAATTTTCAATTTATTAATTAAAGAAAAGCTAATTTTCCACTTAATTAAATTATTAGAGACACCCAAAGTGAGTTTTAATTCATCTATTGGATTTACTTTATTATTATTTTTTAGATTTTGTTGCACTAACCATAAATATTTGACTATATCCAATTATGACTTTTCTATATAACACTTTGAAATTGACTATAATTTTTTTTTATTTTTTATTTACTTTCAAATTTTGTCTAAATATTTATAATATTAATATAAACCTATAATTCTTGATTATATTTGCAAATGTAAATTCAATTATTAAATAATTAAAATTTTTAATTTTATAATTTTTAATAGCTATAGTATCATTTATTGGTGGAGCATGGGGTCATGGGTGTCTTGCCCTTTGCTCTAACAACATATATAATGAATACAATATCTATTATTAACAAATTTATATAGTGTAACTCCTTTGGTATAAAAAAATAGATCTTAAAAAAATAAATAATATTAAAATAATATTTATACGAGAGAGAGAGAGAGAGTATGACACTCTATTATTATATTAATTTTTCAATTTTAATTCTATTTTTATCTCTTTTTTTTTTCCCTTAAGTATTATACTAGTCTTATACGTAACAATTACATGATAATTTTTGTTCTTTAAATTGTTTTTACTTTTAATTTGATCTTAAATTCTTTAGATGTCGAAATGCAAAACATATTTAGAGAAATAAGAATCAAATTTTTTTTATCCAATATAGATTTTCAAATATCAAAAGAATATAATACAAATATTCTACATTCATTATTAATTAAATAA